GATTTTGTCAGAATCTGGCGCAGTTCCCAATATTTAAAATTCCTAAAATCAGCCAAACATACATAAAATCCTAAAATCAAACAGTACGTGTCATCATCTGAAAGACGGGGAAGTCATTCTCTCACACTTACGCGCGTCAAAAAGTTAAACATAGAAATACTGGAAATAGGGCTGTTTTCCTGAGTTTTCGAAGCTTTTCAAGGTCATTTCGAATTTTTCAAGGATTTAATATCATTTTCAAGTACTTCTAGGGGCCCTTGAAAATCAAAATGAAATTCAAGTACTTTTCAAGGCTTTTCCAAGGCCGCGGGAACCCTGTGATATGCGCGGCTTAGCACCATTGCGGCGCTTACTATAATGTTTTTTTAAAAAATTTCATTTTTATTGAGGTGCGGCGCTTGCGACAAAGCGGCGCTTTCACAGAAAAATACGGTAATATAGAAATGAATACAAAAAGTGTAATAAAAGACACATTAAAAAAAATTCTGATATTTTCTCTAAGCCTCATTATGAATAATTAAATCTCATTTACAAAATTAAATATGAATGGATCAGATAATGAAACTATCTTAGCACAGGGGCAGCAAATGGGGCAGGCAAAGCAGGGGATCACCCGAGACCTAGGTGGCACTGAATGTGATTCTGGTTCAATGTTCTCTGAATTCTTAATTTCCTCCTTTTTTAAGTATTGTTTGTTTAATAAAATATATTAATAGGTTGCCTTTTTTTAAAAATTATATATTCTTTGATTAACTTTATTTATGGTTACAGTTTTCAATGTAAAGTTTTACTAGAGATGGAACAAAAAATGTGTAGCAGAAAAACAATTTGTTTGACACTGAATAGATTTAGTTCTGTATTTTCCAGGAAGGATCTTTTCTCTATAAATTTTTGTTTCGGCCTTGGCCATTCATGCAACAAGGAATGAGAAGGGGGGTTGAATGAGATTTCTCTCAAAGAGTGAATGTAAGACAAAAAACAGGGGGAGGGTGGACTTGGAGAATGACTACTCAAATTCTGGTCTCTTTTCAGTCTTTCATTCATTCTTTTCTATTTAGTGTGTCTTCTAAGCTTTATAAAAACAGGCAGAATTTTTTTTTTATAAAACATTAACTTTGGAATTTAGGCAAACAATTAAAAAAATTTCTTACTTCAATTTATTTTTCAACAAAGATAAAAAAAATTGTAGAATAATGATTTTTTAAAATTATGTTTTGATGTGCCATTCATTGGTCTTTTCAGCTGCTTTTTTTCCCACTAAAAATAAATTTTTTTATACACTTTAAAAAATGAACTATTAAAAATATTATTATTTGTACAAATATGGCAGAATAAGAGGAATTAATTTTCAAATAAAAAACTGTCTGTTTAATTAAGTGCTAAACACGAGTCCTAGATATATACCTATGAACCTGTGTGTCGGATATACTTTTTATGTAATGTAAATTTGTTTACATAAATTTCAACATTTTATGTAGAAAATACTCCTATTTAGTCTTAAAATCTAATTCTAATTAAAATTTCTTGTCCAAAATTTGGTAAATTTTTTGAGAAACAAGGGCTATTTGGAAACAAGATGAAAAGGTTGATTTCCAAGAAAATTAAGATTAGATTATTACCAAGGTCCTTGTAAATTTTATGTTAACAACAAGAAACGTATATTCATTTTTAAAATATTTTATATATTTTGACATTTGATATATATATGAGATAGTTATTAAAAGATTTTTTGGAAAACTAAAGACTTTTTTTCTACAAATATTTGCTAATAGAGGGCTTCACAACTTCTGCTAGAAAAGCAAACTTGTATAGTTTTTTTCACAAACATTCAACAGCTCTGCTCAATGAATTTATTTTAACACCAGTTAAATTAATACTGAAATTTTTATTTGACCACAAAGTGGACGCAGTGAAATAAAGCAGAATCTACAGAATTCTGATATTTTAACCAAAATAGTTAAGAAAATAAAAAACTGTAGACAAAAATTCAAAGTTTTCTTAAGTTAACAGTTTAAAGATAAATTAAGATGAACTACTAAAAGAAAACAAATTTTTTTTAAAATCTAAATTACTAAAACTTCTATGAAAAAAAAAATGCGCTTAAAAGCAGCAGAAATTTCACGAAAAGGATAAATTGTAGCAATAAAGGAAACAAAGGAAATAAAAATACGACCATCGAAGCCGACGTCTTCAGGGGGTACCGGCCCCGGTAGCCATAAAACAAAACCTTTTCCATTGAGGGGGAGGCAAATGCCTAAAGTAACACCCTCAGTACCCGGAAGGTTTTGTATAGAAGTCCAGGAAAAAACATGAAATACAAAGAACCAATTTAGAAAAGAAACTCAAACAAATTCATCAGAAAATAAAAAATAAAAACTCACTTTAACCAGGTCAAACATCGATTTCAGAAGCACACTGAATGAAAAGGAAACACTAAAACTAAAGAAAACAATGCCCTCTATTACATTGCGCAGACTGAGAAAAAAGAATTCAAGAAAGAGATACGTAACAAAGTACAGTTTTATTAATTTGTTACGTATCTCTTTCTTGAATTCTTTTTTCTCAATCAGCGTAATGTAATAGAGTGCGTTGTTTTCTTTAGTTTTAGTGTTTTCTTTTCATTCAGTGTGCTTGTGTAATCGATGTTTGACCTGGTAAAAGTGAGTTTTGAGTTTTTATTTTCTGATGAATTTGTTTGAGTTTCTTTTCTAAATTGGTTCTTTGTATTTCATGTTTTTTCCTGGACTTCTNAAACATGAAATACAAAGAACCAATTTAGAAAAGAAACTCAAACAAATTCATCAGAAAATAAAAAATCACTTTAACCAGGTCAAACATCGATTTCATAAGCACACTGAATGAAAAGGAAACACTAAAACTAAAGAAAACAACGCCCTCTATTACATTGCGCAGATTGAGAAAAAAGAATTCAAGAGATATGTAACAAATTACAGTTTTATTAATTTGTTACGTATCTCTTTCTTGAATTCTTTTTTCTCAATCTGCGTAATGTAATAGAGTGCGTTGTTTTCTTTAGTTTTAGTGTTTCCTTTTCAATCAGTGTGCTTGTGAAATCGATGTTTGACCTGGTAAAAGTGAGTTTTGAGTTTTTATTTTCTGATGAATTTGTTTGAGTTTCTTTTCGAAATTGGTTCTTTGTATTTCATGTTTTTTCCTGGACTTCTATACAAAACCTTCGGGGTACTGAGGGTGTTAGTTTAGGCATTTGCCTCCCCCTCAATAGATAAGGTTTTGTTTTATGGCTACCGGGGCCGGTATCCCCTGAAGACGTCGGCTTTGGTGGTCATATTTTTATTTCCTTCATTTCCTTTATTGTTACATTAAGATGAACTACACATAATTATCAGAAAAATGTTACATGTTCCAAAATCATTAAAAATGTAAAAAAAAAAACCATAATAATATCAGTAGAAAAATGTTTACGTACTAATTTTTGATGCAAAAGATATTCCTGAACAGCTAACTCCCAGAAATGGTAACCAATCTGATTTCCACATTGGCCAACTATAAAGGATGAAAATAATTAAAATTATTACTTATTAAACTTATTTGAATGTTTTTTATGGGAGTTTTTTTTNGTTTTTTTTTTTTTTTTGGCTTATTTTAAGATTCAGATTTAGGATAAAAACTGCAATAATAAAAATCATAAAATACTATTTAAGACATTGACTTAAATAAAATTGAAAGTTTTATTCTTTCACTGGACACATCTTTTTATTTTGAATATTTTATAGGTACATTCTAATCCTCTTACCTTGTACAAAAATTGATTCTGGCATTTTCTGTTCCACATTACTTCATGAAACAATAAGCTTTAAAAGATCTGAAATGCAAAATTTTAGTTTAAAAATATTAGAAAAAAATGCTAATTCGTATATAAAAATTAGGACTCAAATTATTGTCATAAAGATTATATATATTTTCAATAATTTTAAAGAACAATTTATATAGCTGCTTTAACACTATTATTTTTTTTGCTATATTTATTTTATTTTATATTTTTTGTAGCATTTCCCCCAAAATATCTTAGTTCATTTTGTTTTTATATACACACACATTGTATATAAGGGCTCGGGAATTACATTGCCCAACATGACCTGGGTACATAAAAATTCCAGTCATATATTTTAGTATTACATGTCTGACAGAGTATATAAATATATATATAATCAGAAATATTATAAAATACAGATTAAGCACTCTTCAAATTTAGCTGAAAATTCGCAAGAATGGGGTAAATAAAAATTCATTATACTTATTAAGACATGAATATCATTCAATTCAATTATATAGATAAGAATTTATTATATAAAGTAAGTTAACTTTTTTATTCACTTAGTAATGCTTATTTTTATGTATTAAAAAAAGCTTACCTTAATTGCTATGCAATAGAAAATAATTATATAAATGTTTGTAATATTATTTTAAAATAACACATTGAAGGACATGTACTTGTAATAATAGGTAGTTTGATAATATTAGGTACTTTTTGTTGTTGCTCTGTCTAAGCTATATATTTCGAAAAGTTAGGTGTTTCTTTGTTAAAAATAATGCTCTCAATTCATTCCCTCAATTATTAATATTTTTCTTAACAATACCCAATAATACTCAATATTTATCATTTATTCTTAAAATAAAAATGTAAAATATATCTTTTTTGTGTGTGGTTAGATTACTAGGGATACATTCATATGTTTTCATTAATATGCAATTAGTAAAGATGTTTGGACAAGTAAAATTTTAATATAAGCATGTAAATCGAAAATTAACACACCCGGGTGGGCATATAAAAATTTCTGAACCCCGTAGGAAGATAATCTAAACCCTGGTAAGGCAATGATATATATATATATATTGCAGGGTTCATTGATTTAAATCAAGTGATTTTGTTTTTAAATATTGATTTTAACATACAGATTATAGGTCAAATATAAAAATAGCTTAAAATTTTCAGTGAATTTTTACCCATTTATTAGGTCATATGTGCTACACAGTGTAATGTTGACCACATAACAGCAGAGTAAGATTAAAAAAAACAAACAAAAAAACTATCAGTACGCACAATTTAAAAGAACCTGCAAAATCATAACATAATATTCTTTATATATCCTGTAAAATCATTCATAATATTCCTATATTTTTCTCACAGATTCGAGTCATTCTTGAATAATAAAAAGTAAATAAAATATCTTTTAGGAAATTTATCAACAAAATTAGAAAAATAATATTTTTTAATTATCTGCATGAACATAGAATTCGAATGTTACAAGTATGTTTTGCATCATGAGTAAAATACAAAACTTATTCTTCCTTTGCTTTTATCCAAACAATTAATTTTGAGAACTCTTGAAACAAAACGAGTTACTATAAATAACATGAATACCAATTGAGATGAGTGGTTTTTAAAGTGCATGAATTTGAATTATGATATATAATTTTTAAATCATTTGAATACAAATCATAATGTAATCATGTAAACATTAAAATAGGTGCTTGAAATTAAAATCGTGTGAATATGGATAGCAACATTTGAATATACAAACATGTGAATAGAAATCAATGTTAAATTTCTAATATATACATGAATACAAGATATGAATCTACTTAGATTGGTCTCTACTTTAATGTTAATCAATATGACCAACATTTCTCAAAATGGTAGATAAAATTGGAAGTTATGAAACTCTATTAAAAAATAAGTATTTAACCTTAGTAGTATAATCTTTGTGATAAGATTCTAAAGTTAAAATTAAAGGAAGTCAACAAGGAAAAATTGAGTTGTTAATAAAAATGTTAATCTTTGTTAACTTCTTATAACACAAAAAAGTTGCAAAATTTTTATTCACATTAATTTTTGTAGTTTACTTTTTCTTTTAGTTTAGAAGGAATCTGTAGATTAATGCATTGCTGCTAAAATAGATATTACTAATAATTACACACTCATACATATATATATATATACACTGGTGTGCAAAACTTAAGCAACAAGTGGTTTTTCGGCCACAGCTCCCCCACAAAGTATAAGATAGCCATGAAATCGCAGTATAATATGCACATAATTCAGTAAAAAGATTATTTGTATGCAAATTTTAGAAAAAAAAAAACGTCGTAGGTGATGTAAGTGTACTTTAACCATGTGGGTCGGCGCGCGCAGTTCAAAGCTATGATAAAAGGATGAAGAGCACCGTAGTTAAAGACATTCGCTGCAAGTGATTTGTTTCGTGAAACATGTCTTCAAGAAATCATTTAGACGACTTTACTCGAGGAAGAATGATTGGGAAGCTTGAGGAGGGGCGTAGTGTGACCAGTGTCGCCGAAGAGTTCGGGATCAACAAAAGTGTTGTTTCTCGTGCTTGGAATGCCTTTAAAACTACTGGTACAGCTGTTCGGAAGGTTGGTGGTGGCCGTCCAAGGAAAACAACACCAAGAGATGACCGTTACATTGTCCTCCAGGCGAAAAGAAACCGTTTTCAGTCAGCGAGCGCCATATCTCAGCAACTGTGCACAGCCACAGGACGACAAGTATCAAGATTTACAGTGGCCAGACACCTCCACAAAGGTGGCTTATTTGCTAGACGTCCAGAACGCTGCATACCTTTAAAATTTAGCCATCGGCGGCACCGTTTAGAGTGGTGCAGAGAACACGAAACCTGGACACCTCATCAATGGAGTCGCGTCCTCTTCACAGATGAGAGTCGTTTTAGTGCTACAAGCGATTCTCAACGTCAGTTGATCTGGAGAGAGGTTGGAGCTCGATTTCATCCCAATAACATCGCGGAAAGAGATCGTTACGGTGGTCCTGGAGTTGTCGTCTGGGGTGGCATTATGTTGAACGGGCGGACTGAGCTTCAGATCTTCGACCGAGGTTCTGTAACTGGAGACCGCTACTGCAATGAGGTAATCCTACCCCATGTGCGTCTGTTCCGAGGGGCCATTGGACCAGACTTCATTTTTATGGATGACAATGCCCGGTCACACCGTACTGCTAATGTTCAAGAGCTACTGGAAAGTGAAGATATCACACGAATGGATTGGCCAGCTTACTCTCCAGATCTAAATTCCATTGAGCATGGGTGGGATGCATTAGGGAGACGTCTTGTGACACGACAGTATCCTCCTGGTAACACCCATCAGCTGAAAGATGCGTTAAAGGAGGAATGGAGACGTTTACCCCAAGAACTCCTGGATAATCTGGTGCTTAGCATAGAGAGACGATGCCAAGCAACAATTACAGTAAGGGGAGGGCACATCCCATACAAGAGAACATCTGCTAGTTGTACTTACGCTTCTTCAGGCAATCATGTGTAACGCCCCAAAGGTCAAATAAAGCCTTTTTTTTGTTCCATACCCTACTTTAAGCTTTGTATTCATTTCTGCACCATTATTCTTTTACCATCGTTTAAGTACAAAATAATGAACATCATATTCAAATTTCAGGTCAATCGGACGATTTCTTGTAGAGTTATGACAAAAAACGCACTTGTTGCTTAAGTTTTGCACACCAGTGTATATATATATATATAGTAATTTTACAGGCATACATATTAATGCATTGGTGCTAAAATAGATATTATTACCAATAATTACACACTCACAAATATATAGTAATTTTACAGGCATACACTGCAGCGTTATTGATTTTAATCTTTAAATTTTAGGGGAATGGTATATCTCACAGGGCATGGTATGGGGCAAAACATTTTTTCTCTTTCTTCTCTTGAAAATAATTTTACTTTTTTAAAACAGCACTCTGAGATTTAATTCCCGTTCCACCTAATACTAGAATTTTTTTTTCATGCTTAAATATTACTTAAAAAAATGGGGAATGAATGTGAATTATCCCCCAAAGCTTCCCACACCCTTTAATGGAACCACTGTCTCTGGGCTGCTTTTGGCAAGAGAACAATGCTTCCTCCCTTTTTCCATTTGAGAGCCAGGTATGAATAGTTACTGAATATAGGGAGTAGGCATGGGAAAGAAAATAAATTAGAAGGGAATGAATGGAGAAAATCAAGAATGTAAGAGAAGGGTGATGCCAATGATGACATCAAAAGCATGCTTTACCTGCTCTTGCCACAAAATTTGTTTCTTCTACTTGCTATGGTTTTTGTCAGTAAGAAAAAGTTAATCTTTCCTCAGCTGATTGTTAAAAGCATGTTTGATGAATAAAGGGTGCCGATGAGACTGGCATGATCTTAAATATTGGTAACAATTAAAATGCACAAGAAGAATTTCTAACTTTCAACTGAAGGTCAGTGAAGTAGGGAAATTAAGAATTATGAGGATGGGTAAGAATTTATACATGCTAGATAAAAGAAAGACTGTCTTAGGGACTTAAAAAAAGAGCAGTTTTCTGAAACCTTATTTAAGGAGAGAAAGTAGGGGGAGGAAATGGAAATATATAAACTTGTTTTAAATTATTGGGAAAATGCTTATTCTTTTTTACTTTTCCTCATTGCTCGTATTTTTTGTTATAGAGTTTGTTCATTGTCTTGCTTAGCCTATTTTTTTTTCATTTAATCTTTCGTTACATATATACCTTTTTCTGCTTAAATATTACTATGATTTGAATGCTAGATATTCTAAATATAAAAAACCTAGCAATCCATTAAGAGGAAAAGTTATACAGCTGCATTTACATTGGCTGCCATTAAAAGATCTTAAATCATCCCCACCAAAAATGAAATAAAAAAAAACATAGAAAGTTTGATTGAAAGGGGTAATACCGAAATAAACGAACTTATTTTCTTCTGATATGGAAAATTCAGATTTTAAAGGCTTTTAATTAAACTATACAGTGATACAATATTATTCACCTTATCT